CTGTTGTCCCTCAGTGTGTCTCAGCCTGAGGACAGGTCCAGTCTGAGGACAGGTCCAGTCTGAGGACAGGTCCAGCCTGAGGACAGGTCCAGCCTGAGGACAGGTCCAGTCTGAGGACAGGTCCAGTCTGAGGACAGGTCCAGCCTGAGGACAGGTCCAGCCTGAGGACAGGTCCAGTCTGAGGACAGGTCCAGTCTGAGGACAGGTCCAGTCTGAGGACAGGTCCAGTCTGAGGACAGGTCCAGTCCTGCAGCAGACAAAGGGGCAGTTGTGTGTCTGCAGCAGGAACAGTTTGTGGTTTCTTGTTGACTCTCAGCTCTGAGGAGAGTTTTCCTCTGAAAAACACACTGAGTGACGCACAAAAGGACCAGGACAACAAGGTCAGGGGCGTGGTCAGGACCTGCAGTAAATATGTGAGGGGGCGTGGTCAGGACCTGCAGTAAATATGTGAGGGGGCGTGGTCAGGACCTGCAGTAAATATGTGAGGGGGCGTGGTCAGACAGCAGGTGGCCCTCAGACTGAGCAGACCTGTAAATCTGCAGCAGGAAGCACTTTAACCAAATTAAGCTCCGCCCCCTCTGGTCTGAAGGATGCACATCGCCCCYGGCCCACCTGCCCACCCTCCCTGCGCCCTGACAGGGTGACTGAGCAGGTGAGCTCATTGCCTCCAGCGTCATGTGACACCTGAGCTGTGAGCAGTAATATCTGCCCCGTGATGCATTCAGGGACTCTCTGGAAGCTCCGCTTTATTACTGCTGCTATTTTTAACCAGCAACACGAGCTGCACCAGAACCAGAACCAACAACACGTGTCAGCTGACACACAACCTCCAAATATAGACAAGTTGCACCAGACCCAGACCCAGACCCGGAACCAGACCCAGACCCAGACCCAGCAGCAGCTGAAGTCAGGCCACAGGTCAAACCAAGTTTTAATCAAACCTTGAATCTGTCTGATCTGATGGGACCAGTTTGTTTATTGTTCAGGTGAACTGGTTTGAACTGCAGCGTCTAAATGAGCTGCTGCCRTGTGATTGGCTGATCTGATGTTAGTGGAAGGAGCAGTTAGGTAGAGCTGATGAAGTGGACGGTGAGTGTTTCCTGTCAGTCTGCAGCAGGTTTTAAACCTCACTTCATTTCTTCAGTGGTTCTATTTGAACCGTAAAGAGGAGGTGAACAGGTCAGGGACTACTTTATGAGGCGGATGGATTTGTGTTTGGTGCTGTGATGGGTCCAGGTAAACAAGCTGCCTCTCTGACACGTCTGAAATAGTTTTCGGTCAGCGGGGGATCGTTCGGTTTCAGTCTAAGAACTGGCAACCTGAACCGGTTTACAACCAGAACCGGACCGTTTCCAGGAGGAATCAGGCCCCTCCCACATGTCAGGTCCAAATATGGGCGTCAGCTACATCCCAGGCCTGAAATAATCGGAGCAGCTGCAGAGTGTGTTCCTCAAACTTGTGCTGCAGTTCTTCTTCTTCTTCTTGGCTCAGACTGGAAACCCTGAATCACAGGCCTGGGTCACAAGAAGTCCAACAGGCCCGCTTTAAATACTGCAGCACTTCCTGTTGGACCTCCTGTCACAGCAGCTGCAGCTTCACATGAGGGAGTCACCGAGCAGCTGCTGCCCCCTGCTGGCCGGAACAACAAACACAACACTCATTCTTACATGTTAAACCTTTAAGAGCCGAGTCATAAAAACTAACAAACAAACAAACAAACAAACAAACAAACAGAGGGAGGAAGCATGAATAATAGAGCAGATGCTGCCCCCTGCTGGCCAGAACAAAAACAACAACCTTTTTAGAACCGAGTCATAAAAACTAAAGGAAATGAAGCCAGGACCACTGATGTGACCGGGTCAGGTCTGGACCTGACCAGGTTCGGGACACTCACAGGCAGAGCAGCAGGGCGAAGCCGGCGATGTACTCGTTCCTCTGAGCTCTGAACAGCTTCATGTGGATGTGCTCGATGGCCGTCGGGTTGTTGGTCACGTCCACCTTGTCTGTGACGCTGTACTTCCTGACCTCACGGAACGCATCTACACACACACACAAACACACACACACACACACACACACACACACACACACACAGAGTCCATCTGTCAGTCAGGATAAAGACTGAAACTTTGATTTAACAGACTGAGTCTAAAGATCTGGACCTGAGGAGGACCAGGTCTGCAGGTTTTAGAGGACCTGAGGAGGACCAGGTCTGCAGGTTTTAGAGGACCTGAGGAGGACCAGGTCTGCAGGTTTTAGAGGACCTCCTTCAGTTTGAGGCTGTAAAATAAATCCTGAGGTGTTCAGGAGCGCAGCAGGAAGTGACTCTAAAGGACTTCCTGTCAGACGTACCGATGAGGAGGAAGACGAGGATGGCGATGGCCACCATGAACCAGGTGTTCCCGTACAGAGCGATGGTCTGGACCACACGGGACTTGAAGATCCTGCTCCATCTGAAAACCAAACAGAGTTCTTCAGGCAGAAAATAAAGGATCAGACTRAAGATGAAAGAAACCAGGTTGGATCAGAACAGAACCAGCAGAACCCTTCAGATCAGCAGGTTCTGTTTCTGGACTCTGAACCACTGCAGAACCTCAAGTCTCCTCTTTTTGACCCGTTCTGTTGTAGACCAGCTGCTGGGTTCTGGATCAGGGTTCTGTTGGACCCAGTGTGGTCCAAGCCTCAGCTGTCAGACAGATGAACTCAGATCCAGAACCTGTGATCTACAGAGGACCTCCTGGTCTGGATCCAGTTTTTCACTCTGACCTTTAAATGATCCAGAATCTGTTGTGGTTTTGATTAGAACCAGTTCAGACCCTGATAAAGACCGGACCAGGTTCAGGTCCTGACAGGACAGGTGGACTCACCTCTTGGGGGAGATGAAGGGGATGCAGAGCAGGAGAACGAGGAAGACCTCGATGTAGAGGAAGGTGGCGACCGCCGTCCACTGAAGACTCATCACGACTCCTGGAGACACAAGACCACCAGACTCAGGACCACCAGACTCAAGACCACCAGACTCAGGACCACCAGACTCAAGACCACCAGACTCAGGACCACCAGACTCAAGACCACCAGACTCAGGACCACCAGACTCAGGACCACCAGACTCAGGTCCAACCAGAACCCTGCCTCTTTGATTGACAGCTCACTGAGCCAATAGGAACTCAGAGAACTTTAAACAGGTCAGCTGACCAGAACCTTCAGTGTGATCCATCAGAACKGTTGGACCACATCAGAGGTGGTCTGGTCTATGACACAGATGGAGGTGGTCTTTACAGGTGGGTCAGAACCTGTAAGGACCACCTAACTACAAGGATGCAGACATTTCCACCAGAGAACAAAACAGATTTCACTAAATAGGGTCCTGGGCCCGTTTCAGTCTGTATGGTTCTGTCTTGGGTCCATCACCTCTATAGTTCTGACACCTCTCAGGCCCAGGTTCTGGGAGGTTTCAGGCCCAGGTTCTGGGAGGTTTCAGGACCAGGTTCTGGGAGGTTTCAGGACCAGGTTCTGGGAGGTTTCAGGCCCAGGTTCTGGGAGGTTTCAGGCTCAGGTTCTGGGAGGTTTCAGGCTCAGGTTCTGGGAGGTTTCAGGCCCAGGTTCTGGGTGGTTTCAGGCTCAGGTTCTGGGAGGTTTCAGGCCCTGGTTCCGGCAGCTCAGGCCCAGGTTCTGGGAGGTGTGGCAGCTCAGTGGACTCTGGACCCAGCAGCACCGGGCCTGCTCAGCAGAATAATCCTGAACGTCACAACAAACCGTCTAACTTCAGATTTAACAGGATTTAGACGAAGCCAGGTGACGTCAGTTTCACTGAGAGCTGACTGGGGCTCCGTCTATTCTCTGGAACGTGTTGTCGAACTTCAGTTTGTGTTCTGGACCTGATCTAATTAATTCATCAGGCTCGGTTCATCAGAACCGCTGAGCCCAGTCAGTCACAGTGTGAGAAAGAACAGAACCCGTTCAGCAGACGGTTCGGACTCACCTTACAGAACCACAGTGCGGCTCGCTGACGAACAGAACCAGTTCTGGAGCTCCGGTGCTGATAAAACGGGACACAGATCGATTAGCTTGTTAGCTTAGCCTTGCGATGTAAACACTTCCGGTGTTTCAGTGCCAGCTCATCCTGAACGCTGATTGGATAAACTGAAGGAAGGTGGGCGGAGCCACGAAGGTTTGAATTTCTCTGCAGTGTTGCATTGAGTTGCGTGTTTGGTACTAATACTACAAAAAAATAATTAATTTATTTATTTATAATAATAATAATAATAATAATAATAATAATAAATTATTTTAAAATCAGCCATGTTCAGCGGTGTAAATCCCTGACAGCTTGAAAACTGGAGGATCCTGGTTCGACTCCTGGTTGGGTCAAACATATATTTCTGTTTTCTAGAAGCACAGCTGGTCGTGAAGTTTCCAGAAGTTTCCTCATTCATTGTCTGCAGATGTAATGCACGGTTTGACCAGCGGGACTGTGGGGGCGCTGTTCACCCGTCCTCTCCTCATGAAGAACTTCAGGCTGGTTTGATTGACAGCAGTGTTATAAAGTACCACAAAGTGATACTTGAGTAAAAGTACAAGTGTCTTATCATAAAATTACTTTGGTAAAAGGTAAAATTTCTTCTAAGAATATCACTTGAGTAAAAAAGTAAATCAAATTTCTGACATAAAATGTAAATAGAACTATTGATTTAAAAATGAGTGGTTAGATTTTTTCAAAATGATATTTATTGGGAGGTGGCCTCCCCCCCAAAAAACCATTTTTTTTATAAATGACTATTAAAATATTAATATAAAAAATTAGGATGCACTAATGTAGCTGTTTCAGGTATATACTGTATATATTTATATGTATGTATCTCATACATCTTCAGGCTACATACGTCTGTCCTGCTGGAGTGAGACATGATTTGTGTTGTGCAGCTCTGATGGGTTATCTACAAACTAATATGGTGCCAAAATCATATATCTATGTTTAAATGTCTCATTCAACCACAGTTAGATTCACTCTGTCCAGGAGGCACAGTTTATCTTTACAGTAATACTTTTAATAACAAGCTGAATGAAAACAAGCAAAAACAAACTAAAAGTAACGACTTTCTACTTCTTACCTTTTTAAAAATGTAAGGAATAGAAAGTACAGATAATTGTGTGAAAATGTGAGGAGTAAAAGTAAAAAGTAGGCTGAAAAATAATTACTCAAGTAAAGTACAGATACCCAAAATTTATACTTAAGTACAGTAACAAAGTATTTGTACTTAGTTACTTTACAACTTTGATTGACAGATGTCAAAGTGACTGTAGGAGTGTTTGAAAACTCCCCAAAACCATTTAATGACTGATTGATTTTCCCTCACAGCTCGTCATAAGTTAACCAAACGTCTACAAAAATAAAAAAAGTTTAAAAAAAGATGATAAATGTTAAATAATGTTATGGGGGTTTACTACTGTTTCAAGGGGAAAGGCTGTTTTTACTCCTTTTATTAAAATTTTCCCTTTTTTAGAGTTCAAAAATTCTAAGTTTGAAAATATTTTGGAGCCATCTTGTAATTTTTCTTACAACTGTTTACACCAATATTTCCCTTTTACATGTAACATGTTTACTGACTTAGAAAACATGAAAAAAGAATTAACTATTTGTAAAATAAAAATATAAAAATTATACGTTTGCCACAACCGGGACTCAAACCAGGAACCTCCAGTTAGTGAGCTGTCAGTGAGCTACATCTACATCTGCGTTAGAGGTGGACCTTCAGGTCCTCCTGCAGCTGAAACTCAAGAAAGACGACATAAAGAAACAACTTCTTTAAAAAAGTCTCATTTATTAAAACATCAAAAATATAAAATACAAAACTCTCTTTAATAAAAGCTAAACATTCAGGAGCTTGAACTTTGAATGGACACAGAGCTGTGCTTCATCTGCTTCACTTTAAAGGGCCTGTGACGTCAGATTTTTGTAATATATTTTAATGCTTTTTTAGAAAGAGGACATTGATAAAATATTGCAAAATAAATTTCATGTCACTGAGATGAACTGTTGTTGAGATATTTGCCCGAGAAGAAACAGGAAGTGATGTCAGAGGGGAATGTCTGCAGGTAAACAGAGCGATGCTAACAGCTAACAGCTAACAGACTGTAGAGAAGAATCTGATGTTTAAGATTATTTTAAGTCTATCAGAGAGATGAAGAGTCAGAGTTCAAATATTGTTTCAATAAACAAAGAGCAGAGAGTTTTATTTGTTAGAGTTCCCCTGTGATGTCACTTCCTGTTTCACTTTGAGTCAAATTCAAAGGAAAACATGCAGTTATGGGATAAAATGGGTTAGATTTTGTGTGTTATTTTTAAATATAAAATGTTTTCTATGACTTTTTGCCTTTGAAGAATATGCATGTCACAGACACTTTAAAGCTTGTTATTGAATAAAGCAGGAAGGCGTGTTCACCTGCCCCGACCAGGTGAGAGCAGGTGTGTGAGCCAGCTGCGTCTTCAAAAACACACTGAGGTAGAAACATCTGGACTAAAAGACTGCATTAAGTCCTGCTGCTGCAACACTGTCTCCAGGTGAGAAAACACTAAGCTGTCCAGTCCTGGGATCAGAACAGGTGTGGGCGTGGCTTCACCTGTACAGGTTTATAGTCGAGGCACTTTTCTAACAAACTCAAGTTTGAAGTGTGAAGACCTCCTCAGGTCAGCTCTCTGTCATCATGGTCTCATCTTCCTCACTCTCCTCCTCGTCCTCGGACTCCTCTGACTCCTCCTCCTCCAGTAGGCAGGGCAGACAGGTAGAAAGAGGCGGAGCCACCAGCAGGTGACASGCGGCTGATCTTACCTGTTGGCGACAGGTGGAGGATCCAACTCTAAAGCCTCTGCAGACGACCAGCTTCTCCAGACAGAGTAGCAGCGACACCAGCTGAGACACACACACACACACACACACACACACATGGGGGTCATCACCATGGAAACAACCTGTAACTGTTGAGTTCAGCTGTGATGAACCACAGGACCGCTTTAAGAACAAAAAGAAGCAGGTGGGCGGAGCCAGGCCTGCTGCGTTACCTGGCTCAGGTGAGACACTCGGGGAGTGTGCGCTTCGTAGACTCGGTGTGTTTCTGGCAGCAGCTGGTTCTGGACGCTGATGTAGAAGCTTCGATCTGATTGGACGTGGACAATRGTGTCCTTCATGGAGGACAGCTGCAGAGGGACGATAGTGAGACTTTGATGACATCATCTGAACGTCCTTAACGAGTTTCAGCTCGTTAAATATTTGTTTGATTAAAACACACAATTATTAATGTTCATAAAACATTAAGACCTGGACGTTAGCTCGTGTGTTTATTGTACAGAAACACAGGAGGGACAATAAAAAATGATGGACGTGTTTTTAAAAGGTTTTGATGTTTTTAATTTATTTAAATGTTTTTAAATGTTTTAAAATGTTTTAAAATGTTTTAAAAGTTAGTAAAGCTGCAGCCGTCAGAGGAACAGGTAAACGAGTCAAACATCATGAGTTCATCAACAC